GGTCTTATTGCAACTATATCTTGTGCTAGTCAGGCCGCACCTCGATTATGCGGTTCAGTTCTGGCGCCCTTATTATAGAATGGATATCAATTCACTGGAGTCGGTGCAGCGAATAATGACGAAAATGATTCCGGGACTTAGAAATCTTCCATATCAAGATAGATTAAAGAAACTAAACTTGCATTCCCTAGAAAGACGAAAATTGCGGGGAGATACGATAGAAGTATTTAAGTGGGTAAAAGGAATCAATAAAGGAGATATAGATAGAGTTCTTATACTATCCGAGCAGGATAAGACTCGGAGCAACGGATTTAAGTGGGATAAGTTTAGGTTTAGGAGGGAGAGGAAGGAACTGGTTCACAAATAGGGTGGTGGACGAGTGGAACAAGCTTAGCAACTTTGTAGTAAGTGCTGGAACGCTGGAAAGTTTTAAAAGGAGGCTAGATAGATTCATGGACGATAGGAGCTGCCATGCACAGGCCAATCGGCCTGGTGCAGACTCCTTATTTCTCTATGTTCTTATGTTCTCTCCCAGACCACACAGCCCTCTCACCCACCTCTTATACACCACTCCATCATATATTCCAAGTGCGTAGTGTGTTCAGTATGAGAGTCATGTACTAACCTCTTTAAGCTGTTTGGTATTTTGTTTGTTTAGTTAACTCACACGTGTGCCCGTGTTTGGCAGTCATAAGTGTGTATCTAAGTATGAGTCGTAAGTGTATCTCTGAGTATGAGTCATAAGTGTGTATCTACGTACGAGTCATAAGTTCATCTCTGAGTATGTCATAAGTGTGTACCTAAGTACCACAGTTACTTAAGTGTGTATCTGAGTCATATAAGTGTAAGATAAGTGTGTCTGTCTGGGCACGAGATTAACATGTGCTAGGAATTAATGTGGAAAGCGATTAGTTACAACACCAGTCAACATTACCAACACACACACACACAACAACACCAGTCAACATTACCAACACACACACACACACAACACCAGTCAACATTACCACACACACACACACAACAACACCAGTCAACATTACCAACACACACACACACACAACACCAGTCAACATTACCAACACACACACAACAACACATGGTTATTAAGTTGGCTTAATACACATCGCGTGGAGGCTGTTAGGGTGTGTGTGTGTCCCCCCTTTTCCTACACCTCTTCCTTTGTTGACCCTCCACCTCTTTCTCTGCTAACCTTACCGCCTCCTCTTCCTGTACTAATCTGACCTGACCTCTTCCACCTCTTTCTCTGCTAACATAAGAACATAAGAAAATAAGGAGTCTGCAATAGGCCGGTTGCCCTGTGCATGGCAGCTCCTGTCGAGAGTTACTACCACTCTCTATCATCCATGAATCTATCTAGCCTCCTTTTGAAACTTTCCAGAGTTCCCGCACTTACTACAAAGTTGCTAAGCTTGTTCCACTCGTCCACCACCCTATTTGTGAACCAGTTTCTTCCTATCTCCCTCCTAAACCTAAACTTATCCAACTTGAATCCGTTGCTCCGAGTCCTATCCTGCTCGGATATTATAAGAACTTTATCTATATCCCCTTTATTGATTCCTTTCACCCACTTAAATACTTCTATCATATCTCCCCGCACTCTTCGTCTTTCTAGGGAATGCAAGTTAAGTTTCTTTAACCTATCCTGATATGGAAGGTTTCTAAGTCCCGGAATCATTTTTGTCATTCTTCGCTGCACCGACTCTAGTGAATATATATCCATTCTATAATAGGGGCACCAGAACTGAACAGCATAATCGAGGTGAGGCCTGACTAGCGCAAGATATAGTTGCAATAAGACCTCTGCACTCTTGTTACTTACACTTCTAGATATAAAACCCAATACTCTGTTTGCCTTATTTCGAACATTAACACACTGTTTTCTAGGCCGTAGGTCCGGGCTTACAAGTACCCCTAGGTCTCTTTCACAAGTCGACTTCTCTAGGTTGATGTTGTTAAGGCTGTATACATTATCAGTATTTGTTCTTCCAATATTAAGTACGCTGCACTTGCTGGTGTTGAATTTCATTTGCCATTTTTCAGACCACCCCTGCAGTTTATTTAGATCCTCCTGTAATGCATTTGCATCCTGCCCTGAATTAATCTGCCGCCCTATTTTGGTGTCATCCGCAAACTTGCTTATGTCACTGCTGATGCCAGTATCTAGATCGTTTATGTAGATTATGAACAAGAGTGGGCCTAGTACTGACCCCTGGGGAACCCCACTGGTTGCACAGCCCCACTCAGATTTAACACCATTTACGCTGACCCTCTGCGTTCTATCGGTGAGCCATGATTTTATCCAATTTAAAACTTCCCCCTCGATACCATGAGCCTTAATTTTTCTCAGAAGTCTCTGATGCGGTACTCTGTCAAATGCTTTCCTAAAAAACGTCAGCAGATTGTTAGACAAGATTTTCCCTTTGTAAACCCATGTTGAGAGTCGTAGATTAATTTGCTTTTCTCTAGATGCGATCGGATGTTATCTGCTAAAATTGATTCAAGAAATTTCCCCACTACTGACGTCAAACTGATCGGCCGGTAATTTGACGCTGATGCTCTGTCTCCCTTTTTGAATATGGGTACTACATTTGCCTGTTTCCACAAGTCTGGCACAACTCCGGTGTCTAATGATTTTGTAAATAAGTTTACGAGGGTTCCGCTAATCTGTTCCCTACACTCTTTCAAGACTCCTTACCCCTCCTCTTCCTCTACTAGCCTGACCTCCTCCCTCCTCCTCCTCTTCCTCTGCTAGCCTGACCTGACCTGACCTCCTCTTCCTCTACTAACCTAACCACAAATACAGAGAGACCTGGCAGTTGTAGCATTAGTAAATATGACAAATTTTGTGACAAGAGGTACCGGTATGGCCAGCATAAGGACAGAACTAGACAATGTGATGTAGTCGTGGCCAGAATTAGGCTAGGATACAGACACATCTGGCAAGTTAGTGACGCTGTACCCATACCGGAACACTCAGGATGAAAACTTTGTGATAAACCTTTAAAACATACACTTGAACACTATATTATTGAATGTGACACTGTCAAAGACTTCAGGCCACCTGACTTATTGTATCATGAACTTGGCAATTATTACATTGAATCAGGGGTGCTTGAGGACATTCTTGCTGTTTATCCAAATTTTGCTAGCCCACACTGATTAGTCCTAAATGTATATGAACCACTGTCCTGCGTGGCAGTGAAAAGTAATAGCACCCTCAGTGTCAAAACCAGACTGAATTACTCAGAATAGGCAAACTGTACTACAAGCTTTGTCAATAATTTTTTAACTAAAACTACCCCCCCCCCCGCCTCCTTCTTCTTCTCTTGATATGAGACCTTTTCTCTCCCCCTTTGTTGACCTGACCTTCTCCCCTAATCTGCTGACCAGTAACACCATGATTTGACCTGCCCCTTCACTCTGCTGACCTGTAATACCCTGACCTGACCACACCTGACCTCCCCTTTCCTGACCTAACGTAACTACAGGAAGATCTAAAAAAAATCGAATGGTCTGAAAAAATGGCAGATGAAATTTAATATGGACTGTTGGACAAATGTAAAGTACTTAATTTAGGAGATGTAAACAGAGACACCAGATATCAGATGAACAACGATGTTATAGAGAAATCCGACTGTGAGAAAGATTTAGGCGTAATGATAAGTAGGAATCTTGGGCCAAGTAAACAATGAGTATTTGCTCGAAACAAGGCTAATAAAGTACTTGGGTTCATACAAAAGAGTGTTAGTTACAAGACTAGCGAGGTCATCCTAAAACTATATCTTGCGCTTGTGAGACCTCACTTGGATTACGCAGTTCAATTCTGGTCACTGTACTACAGAATCGATATAGAATCCCTAGAAAGAATTCAGAGGAGAATGACAAGACTAATCCCGGGCATTAGGAACCTTGAGTACAGAGAAAGGTTAAAGCATCTTAATTTGCACTGCCTTGAGAGACGTAGAGCGAGGGGCGACATGATCGAGTTTTATTAATGGAAGTCAGGGCTAAACAAAGGTGATATAACAAAGGTACTCAAACTATCCAACCAGGAGCAAACTCGTAACAATGGTTTTAAATTAGACAAATTTAGATTTAGGTGCGAGATAGGTAAACATTGGTTTGGAAATAGAGTAGTGGATGAGTGGAACAAGTTACCAAACATCATCATTAACTCGAATACGCTGGATAGCTTCAAACACAGGTTAATGGATGGATGTATGAGCGATAGGAGTTGGGTGTAAATAGGACTGCCCAGTATGGGCCAATAGGCCCGCTGCAGTTCCCTCCATTCTTATGTCCTTATGTCTCTTCCCTCGTTTTACTTAACCTCAACATACCATGATAAAACCAGAACAAAATTAAACCACACCCCGAACAAAACCACATCATAAACAAAACCACATCCTGAACAAAACCACACCATGAACAAGACCCGCTGCAGTATCCTTCATTCTTATGTTCATGAACAAAATCGTACCTTGGACATCTCTCCCCTCACATCCCCCTAACACCCTCATCTTTCCTCACTCCTCCCCAACACACACACGCCACCACCAAACACAGAAGCATTGTTAATCATAATATCAATATGTATAATCTCAACACTTTCTTCTGTGTATTAATTTAAAGTTTATTTCATTTAATTAAAAAAAATCAATTTTGTTATGACTTCCTAACTAGTTACATAGTTTATAAGTAGCCCCTTAAGTACTTACATACATAAACTTATCTAAGTACTTTAACAAACAAGTTCTTAAGTAGAATAAAGAAAAAATGGTCTCCATTGAAGTAAACACGAAGTAAATTAATTAGTGATAAGTAAAATAAAACATTTCCAGTCAAGCAATGAAAAGCAAATAAATTAGAAAGTAAATAAGTAAGTGTAGAAACGTTTCCAGTAAAGTAAGGAAGAGTAAATTAAAGAAAATAGGGTAAGAATAGACGTGGGAGAACAAAAAGTTACATTTACTAACTCGCTGGGATTGTTGGAGGCAGTGTTGGCGATGGTGCACCTTGGAGTCCACTGCTGCTGCTGCTGTAGGTGGCGGTATTGTTGTTGTTACTGGTACTTGAGAAGGAGGAGGTAGTGGTGGTGGAGGTGGTAGTAGTGGTGATGGTGGTGTCGATGGTGTTACTGCTACTTGGAGGGGTCGTAGTAGTGGTGGTGGTAGTGATGGTATCGATGACGTCACCTCTACTTAAGGAAATGGTGGTATTAACGACGTTGCTGTTGTTGTTGTTATTGTTGTTGTTGCTGTTATTGGTGCTGTTGTTAGAGGCGTTCTTAATGATGCTGCACACCTCAAACTTGCTGTTCATGGCACCTCAACCTTACATGGTGTGTGGGGGGCCCCTTGGTGCTGCTCCTGCTGCTGTGGAAGGTGACGTAAGATGTAAACAAACTGCCACAACATTAACAACAATAGTAAACAAATATTAAATAGCATCATAGCTTAAGGCAACAGTATATATTTGTAAACAACGTTACAGTAAATTAAATAGCTTTATAAAGAGTAATATTCATCGTAAATATATCAACAACAGTAATATAATAATAATAATAATAATAATAACCATCCACACATACTCAAACTAATAATAACAACAAAAGCAAAACATACACATACATTGCTAGGTACAACCCCCCCCCCCTCCCTCCTCCCACCCACATCTGTTGCTAGGTAAAGTCCCCCTTTGTTCACCATGGCAACCAACCAATCAGGAAGTAGCCCGCTATTCTCACTGACCAATCAAATGACACCATCACCGTCTCTAAGGTCCCAAGAACTGCTTTTACCTTCAACAATCCGATTTATGTCTTTATCTTTAAAATTAAATTGGGTCTCGGTCGCTAGATATGAATGGCGCGTCTTACTAAAAAAAATTTATAAAGGCGCGGCTATTTCTGATGGCGGGAAAAAGCCAAATGTCTAAAAATAAACAAATGCTGAGTTTGATTCCTGTTGTTGTTGTTGTTGTTGTTGTTGTTATTGTACTGATGTCGGGTTATGATTGTTTGTTCTTTCATTTGTTATCGGTTGTTTTGTATCGGTGTTTTAAGATCGGTGTTTTAAGATCGGTGTTTTTTTATAATTTTCATTGGTGTTTTGATCGTTTTTGTGTTTTCTTAACGGTTATTATTTTTATTCAATTCATTTCCATAAAGGAACGTTCCCACAACCACACTCAATTCCCCCACACACACACATCATCCCCCACACACCCACCCAGAGAGAGAGAATGTGTGTGTGTGTGTGTGTGTGTGTGTGTGTGTGTGCGTAAATAAGACAAACATGATAACCTACAATTACCACTTCCTCACCTCACTAAACACAAGTCCACACAGCCCCTGACCTACACCATCTGGCTAGGAGGAGGGGGAGGAGGGAAAGAAGAGGGAGAAGAGAAAGAAGAGGATGAATAAAAATAAGTGGAGGAGGAAGAGGAGGGTGGAGAAAAAGAGGAGGAAGAGAAGGGTAAATAAAAGCATATAGGCAAGAAAAGAAAAAACTCCCCTGTGCTCTCCAGTTCCCCTCCATCACCCAACCAGCAAGGATAAACTCGTAGTAATAAGATTAACTTCATTCACACCATCTCTTAGTAACCTCACTTAAAACCTCCTTCACGACAGTATTTCATTAACAAACTAACTATTTACACGAGTCTATTCACTGTTATGGAGTTGATGATGTTACTTAATAGTTAATACAAGGATAATATTCTGTGGTCGTTTTCCTGTTGAAGAGTTAATAGTAACCCCAAAATCTTTCACTATTTTGTATTCTTCCTTCAGTGTTTAACCTAACCAAACAAAATCAAACCAAACCTAACCTAACCTAACCTAACCAAACCTAACCTAACCAAACCCAACCTAACCAAACCCAACCTAACCAAACATAACCTAACCAAACCTAACCTAACCAAACATAACCCAACCTAACCTAACCAAACCAAACACTATGTGGATTCCAGTGGCCGCCTGAGGAGTATTGCTACCATCACTGACACTCCTCTCTGGCCCAGTTGTCCCTCCATTTGATATATTCCCCTAAATCTCGACTAGGTTAGGTAGGTGACTGGCCTCTCACTAGCTGGGCCTCCCACACTAGTCTTGACCACCCCAGGTTAGGTAGGTGACTGGCCTCTCACTAGCTGGGCCTCCCACACTAGTCTTGACCACCCCAGAGCATCAATTTGTTCTCATAACCTTTCGTCCGGTCACTTATTGTATATACTGGTAACAGGTAAACTTGAGTTAAGTTCAGACTAATTTATATTACCTGTCTTTCGGGACTAGTGAATCATTTACCTTATTTTATGTTATTTATGGTATGTTATTTTTACTTTATAATATTTAAGAAAAAAAGATTATTATATGGATTTTCATGTGTGATGATGAAAAGGAATTTCACAACTAAAACACAGACAGACAGACAGACACATACACACGCTAAAACAAACATACACACACATACGCTCTAAAAACCGAGACACACACACACATATTAAAACACTGAAAAACAGACACAAAAACACACATTAAAAACCGACACAGTAACACACACTTATACAGTCAAACGCACATGCAAGATAAATTTGGTATTCACGGGTGGTGGTTTTTCCTTACACACAGGGAATATTTGATCCACACGTGTATGACAGTTGACGAACACATACAGTATATAGTTTTGATCTTTAGCACTCATACAATAATAATCTATCACATAATACACTCTAATACACTCATAATACAATTTAATACACTCATTTATACCCCAAAAACTCTAATACACGCCAGTACACTCTTAATACACCCCTAATATATCCAGTACATCCCTAATACACCCCAATACACCCTTAATATACAGCTCTACTCCCCCCCTCCCCACCCCACTACACTGCCCACACCTTCACCACCAGACCTCAATTTTATGCGAAAAACCAGGATAAATATTCACCCCAAGTTCATCCCAGACAAGAAGGTCACAAGCGACAATTCCAAGCACGTGACATCACCTCTCTCTCTCTCTCTCTCTCTCTCTCTCTCTCTCTCTCTCTCTCTCTCTCTCTACGTTTTTTGTAAAATCTACTTGACCAGCAACCCGTTTTCTGTTGACCGTTTTATTGCCTCTTATTCTACTTTCAATGACTGGTTAGGTTAGTAGGAAAGTTCAGATTTTGGGGCTTATTACCTCAGGAAAGTTGTTAGGTTAGGTCAATGCCTATTAGATCATTCATAGGTACTGCCCATGAATGAAAATAGGAATTAAATAGGTCTTATCGTATGACTACAGTAACTCTACATAATTTTCTCTGGAGTGTTAGGTTAACGTTCTCACTCTACAACTACTACTACCACTACTACTACAACCACTACTACTACTACTACTAATAATAATAATAAAATTAACAATAATAATAATAAATAACAATAATAATAACAACATACAACACAATCATTGAAAATCTCGGACGGATAAAGATTCAACATTTTCCTACAACCAGTTACCGCAAATAAAATGTTCACGTATAAACTTCTGAGAATTCTTAGTGAGAGGGGAGAGAGGGGAGGGGTGAGAGAGGGGAGGTGAGAGAGGGAAGGTGAGAGAGGGGAGGTGAGAGAGGGAGTGAAGGGGAGAGTGAAGGGGAAGTGAAGAGTGAGAGAGGGAAGGTGAGAGAGGAAAGATGAGAAGAGGAAAAGGGAGATGAGACGGTGAGGAGGTGAGGAGGTGAGAGGAGGTGAGGAGGTGAGAGAAGGTGAGAGAGAGAGGTGAGGTGAGGAGAGGAGGTGAGAAGGAAGGTGGAGGTGAGGTGAGAGAGGTGAGGGAGGTGGGAGGTGGGAGGTGAGGGGGAGGGAGGGAGGAGGAGGAGGTGAGAAGGTGAGAGGTGAGGAGGAGGTGAGAGAGGAGGTGAGAGAGGGAGGTGAGAGGTTGAGAGGTGAGGAAGGTGAGAGGAGGTGAGAGGAGGTGAGAGGAGATGAAAGAGGAGGTAGAGGAGGAGTGAGGGAGGAGGAGGAGGTGAGAGGAGGTGAGAGGAGGTGAGAGGAGGTGAGAGGTGAGAGAGGGAGGTGAGGGGGAGGTGAGGTGAGGAGGTGAGAGGAGGTGAGGAGTAGAGGAGGTGAGAGGAGGAGGAGGGAGGAGGTGAGAGAGGAGGTGAGAGAAGGTGAGAGAGGGGGAGGTGAGAGAGGGAGGTGAGAGGAGTGGAGGTGAGAGGGAGGTGAGAGGAGGTGGGAGGAGGTGAGAGGTGAGAGAGGGAAGGTGAGAGAGGGAAGGTGAGAGAGGGGAGGTGAGAGAGGGGAGGTGAGAGAGGGGAGGTGAGAGAGGGAAGGTGAGTTTCGTTAAGATGTCAACACAAAAGGTGCTCAACAAAACCGTCCTTCAGTATGGATCGTTTACAGCCAGCGACCCGTGTGTGTCAGGTAGTTCCCACGCAAAGTAAACATGAAGGTCACACAGTATGGTGGTGTCTCTCATCCCTACCCTCCCCCCCCCTGGTTATATTGTCTTCCCACAACCCCTCTTTAAACTCAGCCGTGTCACTCTTCCGATAGAGGAAAAAGACTCGAACGATGGTATAAATACTGGTTACATTAAGAGAGAGAGAGAGAGAGAGAGAGAGAGAGAGAGAGAGGTAATGAGGACGTCTCTCTCTCTCAGTACTAGGAAATTACTGTACACATAACATACTTTTTTCACCTGCACAAATAAAGGTCATTTACCTTTATAAGTTAACTTCTACAAATAGGTTCAAGTATTTTTATATCGTGACGTCATTTGTTTACTTCCGGATGTATGCTGTTTATTTTTCCTGCTACGATGTTTTGGTGTATACATCATGACGTCACTTCCTGTTATTATTGTTTACTCAGTGATGTCATAGTTCACCATCTTAAGGTACTTTGTTTACACGTGTCCAGACCATGTTGTTGTTGCTTATTTGTTTACATGATGACGTCACGTGTCCAGACCATGTTGTTGTTGCTTATTTGTTTACATGATGACGTCACTTGATCCTACCTCTCTGATTATTTTAATATGTGAAAATAGTTTAGTGTTTTGTGGAGTTCTTTTCCGATTAATATTTGACTTACTGTGAAGAGAAAGTTGAGGGAGTACAGGGAAAGAGAGGGAAGGAGGGGGGTGGGGAAAGGATAAGGTGAGAGGGAGAGGAGAGGGGGAGAAGAGAGGGGGAGGGAGGAAGGGTGAAAGAGGAAGGTAGGTAGGGGGAGGAGGAAAGAAGAAGAATAGGGGTAAAGGAGGTAGGAGAAAGAAACTGATAGGTAGGTACAATAAATAGGGGGACAGAAAAAAAACGAAGAGTTAGGTAGGTAGGTAGGGGGTAGAGAGGGGGAGGAGGGGTAAGGATAGAAATT